CGGTTCAAGTCCCGGACCCGGCGGCTTAAACTCACGCCGGGCATGTGTGTGTGCCTGCCCAAGATCCCGAGAGGAGAATGGAGGAAAAGGGATTGCGGCGTGGCCATTCCCCCCCGCTCCCGGGGGGTGATTTCTCACTTTCTATCTCTCTATCTCTCTCTGTCTTTCTGGCGAGCGCACGCGCCCTATAGCGAAAACCTCTCAAAAAAAAAAAATTTACTATTTTTAAAATTTGCTACAGGGCACACATGCTTACCAGAGAGAGCGAATGAGAAAGCAGGCCTCCAAGTCCAACTATCAGGCTACCTGCCGGCCCATACCGGCCCTCTTTCATGTCCTTCATTGCAGGCCACTTGTCCCTATTATACCAACTTGCCCTAGTTCCCTCCTGTCTTCTGCTCCCAGCACTTTGCCCACTTGCCCCAGCCTATTACTTGCTTAGGAAGCTCTCCCCACCTTCCCTGACACCCACGCCTGCTGCTCTGTCCTGTCTCATCCAAGGCTGTCATTTCCTCAATACAGGTTCCCAGGTCTCCAGTCCAGGAGCCCACTCGGGAACTAAAATGGGTCTCAGCCGCTAAAGTTTGTTATATCCGCTAATTGCACCTTCCCGACTTTCACCACTCTTCACCCTCACTGGAGCCCACCACATCACCTGGTAATTTCCCTCCCTCCGACCTTCCTGAACCTTTGGCAGCTTTCAGAGTGTTTTTGCTGAAAAATGACCTGAGCCTTCACCACACCTACCCTGCTGCCACCGTCATGCCTCATGCTTCTCACCTGGCTGCGAGCAATCTTGAAGGGGGTAGCATTCACCATGTGCTGCTTCCGGATACCACTCCACCTGGTCCGGTAGTCCACGATGTGGCAGGGGGGCCGGACGTACTCATCATAGAGCACATCTCCGTCATAGCTGACGATGCTACATCGAGCCAAGGAGCTCACGTGCCCCTTGGGTCCTGTGCCCACCATCTCACAGTCGATGGCCACCATCTTAGTCGGCAATTTCTGGGATGCTCCAGAGCTCTTATTCTCTGAATGAGCTTGGGTGGACTTCTGGGGGGCATTCTTCTCAGTCGAGTTCTGAGGTGGCTTTTTCTGGGGGGCCTTCTTCTTGGGACGGGCTGGACGGCTCTTGACCTTCGGAAGGGCACTCTGGAACTCTCCCAGCAAATCTACTTTAGCTGTAAGAGAATCAGTCTTCTTTGAAGGGGCAGGGGTCAGCCAAGACACTGTGGCTTTCTTGTCCAGGCACTGCTCTGACCCACTATTGGCAGCAGCGGTCTTCTTCTTTTCTGCAAGGGGAGAGGTCTTCCAAGTACCATCCACCCGAGTTGTTTCCCCTTTCTTTGGAGGTTCTGAGTGTAACTTAGGTGTCTTGCTAGGGGGCTGGTTCTTTTTTTTCAGAAAGCCTCTCCGTTCCAAGAGCCGCCGCTTTTTGACAAAATTTCGGTGCTTGGCATTTCCTTCCAATGCCTTTTTGGGAGGAGGTTCCCCAAAATCCAGATTAAGGAGTAAGGTAGACATGAGGACAATGGATGGTGGTAGAGCCGGTGGGAAGAGTGGCTTATGGATGAATGGAGGCTGGGGGGCTCATTCTCTGCTGAATCTCAGCATCCAACATTTGGAGGTCTGCAGTATACCCTGGGGGAGGGAAAGTCACCCTGATAATTGAGCCCACTGACCTGAGGAAAAATGAGATACTACTGATCCCCAAGGGACTTGGCCGAGTAAAGACATGAAAGCAGCCTCCTGGTTGGAGGGCAAATGAAAACTAATACAAAATATGACAGAAAGAGCACTGTCTGAGCCAGGATGACTGTATTCTAACAAGGTTGCACAATTTATCAGCCTTTTAGTTCTAAGTGCCTACCCCTAAGTGTCGGTTTCATTTACAAAATTAAGAATTGGGAGGGCCTATCCAAGCTCGGACTCTCCGGAGTCTAGAAAGCCTACACACGTGAGCTCTACAATCCGCCAAAAGAGGGAGTACCACAGTGTGCGCCAAAGCAGTAAACGGCATGGCCTAGACGACCGCGGGGCTCCCCAAGCACCCACAGCGCTGACCCCACGAAGAAACCCAAATCCAAGCACCGCTTTCCCTGGGCTCCTGGTTGGGGGCACCACCACATGCATCTCCCCCAAGTCCTCCCAAGCAAGGAGGAGCACATAACAGACACCACATAT